ACTTGTCTTGTTTAAAACAGATTAAATTAACTGTTATTAGTTTGTTGTATTTGTCTTGTTTAAAACAGATTAAATTAACTGTTATTAGTTTGTTGTATTTGTCTTGTTTAAGACGCGTCTGCAATTCAACTGCCGTCACTTCTTGGCGGTCTTATATACATGAATTCCGCATATCTAGTAAACACTCTAGCATTCATGAACCTTCGAGAATATGACGTGTTACTAGCGTCACGTGACTCCCGCTGTCGTAACTATTTACTTTTCAACTAATTGAGTACATACAGTAGGAGTAGGAATGGCAAGTTAAAACTTAATATCTGATTAAGTTGAAGAAAAACAAACTAATAACAGTTAATTTAATCTAGATACAGACGGACAGTTGGGTCGAGCGCGTGTGTCGTTCATTGTGAATTATAGCGTTTGTTTAAATTATAGCGTGACTGTGGAAATTAAGTGAATTTCAAAGCTGTATTGAGAATGAATAAACTACTTTTATTTACGAAAGGACTTATGTCGCTAAAGTTTCATCGGAAAGAAATTATAAGGGAAATTAACTAACGACCAGAGACGCAACAATATTAGAATGACATTATTTTAAAATAGGATAGCTCAAAATTTAAAATGTAACAGGTCCAAAATAATACACCAGTTACTGTTGGCTGTACAGTACTTAATATCTGATGAAGGTAATCAGAGAGAGTTTTTTTTTAAAGGTTTTCCTGAATTTATAAAAGTGAAAAAAAAATTAATCTAAATAAAAAGATTAGATAAATTTGAAAATAGAAGATTCAAAACCAAACATTTTATAAATACATTTAATAATTCACGATTTTTTTAATAATGGATTTTACGATATCTCTTATCTATGCGGATGGTAGAGATCTTCATCTTTAACATATTTGTTTAATTGCATACAAGAATCACATTTTAATAAATGAAACCAAATTAGTTTTAAAACTTTTGTGATAGATGAATGTTCTTGTACAAACTTTATTTTAGTAATTAAGTACCTTAGATTATTCGAATTATTTTTATAACAAAACTGAGTTTTGTTCTTTAGCAAATAAACTGTAAGTGAACACATCTTTTGAAGATATTTTGATCGGTAGACTAGTTTCTTTAGTCTCAGTTGTTTTTTCCCTCCTCCTATACAATAAGAGAAATTTTCCATCATCAACTTTAAGATTTTTGTAAATTGCTAAAAATACTCCAATACCATTCATAGATAATTAATTCATTCACAAAACTAGAGATTCACAATGACAAATGTTGTATATAATAATGTCATGCTGGATGAAAGAAAAAAAAACAACAGAAAATTAACATGTGTCAACCTCTCCCATTTTGAACTCGGCAGCTTCGTGCATGTAAAGCTCATACACTAAAACAGACACTGTCAATCAATGTCAAGTCACTTCCATAAACATTCTTAAAAGACACCACGTCTGTAAATAGCTCCGACTTGTGAGCTAATAATGGCTGAAGAAGTTTTGGATGGCTGACTTGAGTGTTTCTTTAATTTCCAGTTAATATTTTCACCCAAAGACACAATTTAGACAAAAAGTTATTTATTCTGTTTACAACTTACATGCGAGTGGAGAGAACAAGTAATTTACAGAAATGCTTGGCAGTTAGAAAAGTGCACACTCAGTGCATTTAGGTCTCTGCAGTCACAAATTTAACAAAACAAAAATCAAATAAATTACAGCAATAAGATGTAGTAATTTAATTAAACATCAATATGCTTAAATAACAAAATAACAGTAAGTTCTGACCTACATCCTAGAATCCAAAGGTCAATAGAATACTTGAAGACAGGATACCAACTGAACCAAAATAGGCCAGATAAATTACATTAATACAAAAGTTTGAACTAAATTATATGATAAGAATTACAAAAAACACAAATTGAAAACTCGTGACTTAATAGAAATGGTGTAATTCTATCTACTTCAACTTTCAAATAGAAAAACAAAAATCTAAATACTTTTGAAACTAATTATTCTTTTTGCTGTTACTAATATTGTAAAAATAGTCTCAGAAAAGAGCATATATATACAAAAGAAAAGCTCTCGAAATCAAGTGCTATTTAGATTTAAACCATCCAACTGACCCAAGTTCCAATATCTGGGGACCTTTACACCCATGCCTCTTGTACAACAAAGCATTTCTTTACAACCAACTATGAACTACAAACACTGAATATACAAAATCTCAATACACTTTATGTTCGTGCAAAAAAAACATTTAAGGCTAAAATAAATGATAATGTCTCACAGTAAAGTCAATTTTACACATGCAAAGCTAAACGTACGTTGAGTGATCTACGTCTTTGGAAGGACTGACATTTGAACTCACAGGTTTCTATGTTTTTGAAAATTTAAGTATTTAACTGATACTTTTAAAAAACCCAAAAAAAAAGAACCTGTATCTTACCAAAAATGGCAAGATTTTATGTTATCTTTTACACACTACAAAACAAAAGTCAAATTTAAATTTACTTTGGCCTTCCTGTTACATTTTCCAAGTGCACAAGTATAAAAAAAATCTTGATTTTGAAAGGCAATGGCGGGTACTCCTACTAAATGCTATTCGGGCACCCGGATCAACAAAGACTCGAGGAGTCGAGGCAAGCACCCATGCCAAAACGGAACAAAAGCTCTCTTCGATTCAAAGATAATACTGTGAAATAGTGACTTGAATGTCATATAAGATCCATTAATTTCCATTTTTAAATCTTAGCTTACTGCATGCTTGAAGTGTTAATGTTTATTGTTGTAGCTTTACTAATTATAAATACTTCTAAGGTTACTGACTTGTAGCACTGTATTCAAATTGACGTTTCAGTAAATATGTCGAATGTCTTTATTATTATTATTGCACTGGAGTAAATCATATTACTGCTGTAATGATACATATTTTCCCCACTAGGAGGCTTCAGATCTCAGTTGAGCAGCACTCCCACTAAGGAGATGGTAAATGCAGTTTGATTTTCCAAGCCACACTTGTAGACGACAGTAGTCCAGACCAATCAAGAGGGGTTATTTGTTTGTTTATAATAAGCTGAGTTGCTACAATAACAACACTGCTGTTATTGTCGACTAATATAAACATTTTATACCATCAACTTATAATACAGAACTCTAAAGACTGAAACTAGGTTAAAAGAAAGCCTTTGTCATCATAAATTACAAACTACAGATTAAAATATGAAAAGCCCAAGTTTTAATTTGAAAAGTAAACTTCACTTTCGTAAATAATCAGAACGAGTGACCAACCTTCCAAGATAATATATGCATTAAAGCAATGAGTTACGCAATTTTTCTGGGCAGCATTATCGGGAGTTTCACTTACTGTAGAAATTAGATCTTTAGGAATTTTTGTAACTGTCCTCTCAAAGGTTGTTCTAAGTCACTGATATTATTATCATGAAATCTAAACTTACATCATGACATACCTCCTCTACCTCCGCCCCTACCACCCCTCATAGCACCTCCTCTACCTCGATATCCTCTGAAACCACCACGCCAGGGATTTCGACGAGACATGTTGGCCGAAGAACCAAAGGTTTCCACATTCAGTTTCCTTTCACGTCGCCAATCTACACGTTGCAAGTTTCTGGAAATCAACATTTTTCAGGTCAGTTTTGTAAACAGTTAGCAAGCTCAAACTATCAAAATAATCGTGAATATTTTCAAAATGAGACCTAAAACTCAAGTGCTTTCGAATAGTTGACTATTCTTCTTCAGGAAAATAAAGAATGAAAATTATGAAGTGTTATTTGTATTTTATTGGCTTTACTTTTATGACACAAGATGGAACTGTATGAAGTAAGAAATAAGGTGAGTATATTTTTCTTAATTAATGAAAACAGAAGAATCACATTACAGTTTACATATGTATTATAACAGATAATGTTTTGACAATAGTAGTTAGTGTTCAGCAAAAAGACAGAAGTCTGTTTTTCTCACCCTTTGCTTCTTTCCAAGGCTTCACAGCTGATGTTATCAAAAAACGACTTGCTTCTATCATAATAAACAACATCATCGTCATCTTGTACATCACCAGCCTGGGTTTCATTCCCAGAGTCATCCTTCTTGTCATCTGTCACCACACATACACACAGAGAGAGAAGAAAAATAGAAAGTTGTATAAATAAGACATTACAGAAATACTGAGTTAGTATAACCCTATCGAATATAAAACATGTTTTATCAAGTAGCTATCTAACGTCAACTCATTACTAATGTCTAAAAATCCTCTTCTACATTTTGAAATTTTACTGTTTCAGAGTAATCTGATTTTAAGTGATTACTTAACCCTCAAATTACAGACTTGTTTTTACACTAACTATTAAGGGGTCCACATATTACACCACTCAGTATAAAGATTTGACAACAAAAGAAAATAAGGTAAAATAACTTTTTTCTACACAGAATACAGAGAGGACCTTAGTGTTGACTAGTGGGTACTTTTATTTAGATTTTCATGTGACTTGTATGTTATTAATGATCCCGTATCCAACAAAAATTATGTACGCAGAAGTAATTTATGCATAAATAGTTGAGAAAACTGTTTAATGTATTTTATTTTCTTTACTTAAAAGTTAAGAACTCTTAATAAAATGGAAGTTTAAAGAATATTACTAAAAAAAACCTGTCTAGTTCTATAATCGATCCAAAGTTCAGAATCTAAGTTTTCTATACCTAGCTTTGTTTTAGCCAACTTGTTTTCAAGCTCTTGAAATTCTGCATTTGCTTGTTCAAAATCATATTCTCCTTCAAAGCGTAACACTTCTTTCTTGCCGGTCAGATTTTGCCGTGTTCGGGGACCCCTGGGTCGACGCTGATACCCTGAAGAACATAAATTTTACTGAACCACTGGCTCCATTACAATATCATTAATATAAACTAAATGTCCCAACTTTACTTGAACGTCAGAAAGTAATTTGGAATTAATTTTATACTGAGCCACCATCTTACATGACCTACATATTTCACTGCATGTGAATTTTTACATTCATAAAAATCTTAACATTAATCAGTACAAGTAGGTACCTACATATTTAATTGGAAAGTTTTATATTTTGATAGTCAAAGAAGTAATTAGATATAAAAAAAAATCACCTTGTGAATACATTCTGGAGATTATTTT